ATTTCACAGGTAATTTTTGTTCTGCATCTATTCTTCTCACTTGGGCAGAAGATGGAAGCAGTGAGCGAACAGCAGTCAGGCAGCCCATAACTAGCTGAACAATGACGTGCAATGAATGAAAGAGGCAGCGGGGATATCTGAACATAACCTCAAAGCACTGGAACATTGCTAAAAAGCCTCTATGATGCTTTATCAAATTAACCAAGGAATGAAGCTCATGTGAGAGTGATATTCCATGTATCAAATATCTCTCTGTGTGTGCCTGTGTAATATATATGCATATCTGCATATATCTGTAAGGCACACAAACTTACTTAGGGAAAATAGCCTGGAAATTAATTAGGAACTCAAATGACATGGTTACACATAGATCATAATTTCTAAACACAATGTTAGTAAAACAAAATTTATTTGTAAAACAGGACCTGTTATATAAAATGGCACACAATCAAGTTATACAAAAATACAAAATTTCTTTCTGATTACAGTTCTAGTTGCAAATGATAATTAGAAAGCATTCCTGGTGGCTTCCAAATAGCTGAGATTGCGAGCACATGAAACAGGCAGCGAGAATCCATGATGCAGGGATGTCCAAGTGAGTAGAACCTAATTTCCAAGTTCAAGATTTCCATCAGGTCCCTTTGGAGGAACACCTCCTAAAATAGCTAGCTCCTGGGATGTCTTCTGTTTGGACACCCATCTTCCAGACTTTTGCCAATTCTAAATTTAGTTCCCAATATTTCTGAAAGTCCAAAATCTGTGTGGCTATGGAACAGATAGTATTCTCAATTTTCTTACATGGTTTGCTCTCTCACCTATTTGGATAATTGTTAGTTACACAATTATATTGATTTCATTTCAAATAATATAAAAGAGTACAGTGACGCTGGCAACACTAGATGTTAGATGTTAACTTCTGGAGAATTATTATTTCAAAATAGCTATGCCCACAATGTTGGTTTCCATATCTTGCTAAAACATGAACTCTTAATTGTATGCACGTGCATGTGTGTGTGTTAATCCAGACTCTTATTGCAAATATTCTGGAAAATCAGAAATATTACATGAGCTTTGAAAAGAAACCAAGGCATTTAGCACATTTTAGCGTAGCTAAAGAACACCAATACTTAAAGAAAAAATACAATTTACTTTTTGCAGCAATTTAAAGGTCCAACCCTTTGAAAGGAAGCATATTAGGAAAAAGCTGCTTATTAAGCCCTACTGACATTAATTGTATACTTCCCATGACACCACTCTAATTCACTATCCAATTCCGGTCGGAGGCAATGCTTTCTTTCAAAAGATTCTCCTTCCGTGGAATGATAAAATGCTGAGGCTTTTTTTTTCTTTTTTCTTTTTTTGTACAGAGCCTGTATTTAGTGCAATAAGTTTAAAAAATTTGCTCTGAAATATTTACTTTACATTAACAAAAATAGCTTTTTTTAAAAAAATTGTAACAAAAAGGAGTTATCGCATAAACAGATCATGAGTTATTCTTAGCAAATTACACTTGTTTTTCCTTAAAGCATTCACCATTACAATAAGCAGAACAATGGAATATTAGCCATTCATATCTGGTAAGCTTCAGGAGTAAACAAAGAAAGCAACAACAGAAAGCCTCAACCCCACCCCCAAACATAAAGGACATTCATACTTGAGGATCAAAACATTAACTGATTCTTCAGTTAAACATCGTAGAACACTGGGTAGTCTATGAATTGCCAAAGAGAGGAGCACCGGCCAGTGTGTTTTCAGATTTTATAGCAAACATTTGAATACAATGGCTGTTTAACCCTAAGCCACTGATGTTCTTCTGAAGCCGAAGCCCAAGCACTGGAATTTTCAATGCTCTATGCTCCACATTTTTGTCCTTTTTAAATTCCTCCTAACATTACTTAATCTACAAATCAATACATAGAAACTTAAAGGCTAAACTTGCTGGGTGCCCCAGCTTCCGTTCAAATCAGGCACACAAATGTGTGGAGGATGCTACTAAGGTCAAAAATAAAGACAAATGTAAGAAAAATGTTTGCATAAGAAAGATTATCTACCTTTTTCTCTTTTCCAACTTTCTTCTATAGAAGCGTTAGGGTAAACTACAAATACCTGAGGAGTTGGTTTCTCTGTAACGTTGGCTGACAAATGTATGCGCTACTAAGAAAATTCCCATGATGGGCCCACTTGCATGTTTCTAAAAGTAAAATGACATGGCTTTTGATTGGGGGAAACTGATTGGAATAATGCTTTATTTATCTGAAAGCACATGCCTAGTCTTGATGTGCTAGGACTTAGGCATCCGTAAAATAAGATCTTGATTTTATACACATATCAGGAAAATTATTCCTGAATAAATTTTAGACAAGAATTTGTTACAACAATTTCACCTAATTTAAGTAACTAAAGTTAAAATCTCCTCTAAGTTATTAAAAATGTTAATCAGATATGAATCTAACATTTCCATTAAGACAGTTACAATCGAAAACATTAAATGACGGAAGTTGCCTTGTAAAAGCCACCCGTATGAAAGGAGTACATGTTTGACAAAAATAAGCATAAAAAAGGTATTAAATCCCTGTTCCTTTTTTCTGATTTTGGCTGATTATGTGTGTGTGTATATATACATACACACATATATATATATATACACACATACATATGCATATATACACACACCCACACACACAAATACATAGTTATGTGTATATATTGTTTTGGAATGTCAATGGGTTCCAGAACCGTCGGCTAGGTTCAAGCAGAACTTGCTCCCGAAGCCTAGAAAACAAAGTCATACAGAGTACAATCTTAGACAATTACCACTTAAAGGAGATCATGAATGATGATACAAATATATACACAGTCACTAACAGCAACAGGAGAAAATGGATGGGGACTCCTCCTCTGAGCCTATATTACTGGGGCCAAAATTCTTGTGAATATTAGAAGTCACATTTCCTTCAAGATCATCTCTGAGACACACACAATCTACTTCTCTAACCCCTGTCCCCAGAAAGTCCAAGTTTTCCCTTCCTTTTCCCATTAAGTCCTTCCCATATGATAGTAAGCAGACAGCCAGATTTCCCAAAACGTCATCATTTCATTTGGTAAATTTTTCTAAAACTGCTTTTAAAGAACTATAGAAGAAGGTCCTCTTAAGAAAAAAGTCAAAGAAAACTTGCAGTTATATTAGCTCAATGATCCCTTATCAAAAGGAAAAATTTAAACCTCATTTTCCCAAGCATTATTTTATAGGCTAAAAATAAACCCTAATTAAAATACCCCATTAAAGAAGACAGACAGCAGCAGTGTTTCCAGACATACTGCAAAACAGGCATGATGCTCTGTTTCAGAACTTCTACCTAAGTGAACAACACAAGCAAATACAAATGGACAATTCTAAAGTTTACTAATTCCCAAACTTGAGGGGAAATTCCTCAGATAACTGACAATTCTCTGACAGAGGATAGTGAGTGATAGCAGGGGTCAACTCTGATCATGCATACTTGAGAGACAGAGAAAGGTAAGGCATTAAGTGTTCAAAAAATAAAGCTACTGTTGAAGTGACACTTTACACTTCTCTTTAGGGGAATTTTTTTTAACCACTTAAAGCATTCTTAGGGACCGAATGGTAGAATGTCCAAAGCAGCAGAACTACGCGCATAAAAAATGTATTTTGGGATACAGAAAACAATTTTTGCCATTCATCAGTAAGCAATGAACTGGTAAACATAAAACGGAAGCAAAAACCGAATGAAGATTTTAATGCATTGTTGGTGGAAAGGGACACACATTAAAACTGAAAATACCATTAGAAAAACTTCCTAAAATGTTTGGCTTCTGGCAGAATGCCACATAACCAGGATAACTTTCTATGGTTATAGTTTATATAAATTAGGGGTGTAGCTAAGGAAGGAATACTTGTACTCTGGTCCACCACAACTCATCTACCATTTACTAAAGAATAATATAGAAACACATGGCAGTGTACACCAAATTAGCAAGTTTTCAACTTCTCCCTTCTTTAAATGTTTATTACTAAAGAATGATTCAATGGATGTTTCAATCACTGGAAAAGCAGCAAAGGTGGGAAAGGCAAGTTTATATTTTACGATTTTATGTACAGTATGTCCTCGTTAGTGTTAGGCTTGGGATCTTTATTTCCTCAACAATGAGGACAGCCAAACGTCAGAAGTAAGCAAGCCTTCCTCATTTCTCCGAGTCTCATAAGGTTGGCAGCACTGCTGCTGTGGTCTTAATTAGATCAATACATGCGAGAGACATCTGTTATGCTGCAATGAAATTATCTAGAGGAAAACAGCTCAGGATTCTCTCACACTGATCAGATTGGTTTTTGCAAATGAAAGTACAATGAGTTAACATTAGTAAATTAATATTATATAAATAACTCACAAGGGAAATTTTTCCTTTTCACAAGTAAGCCAAGAGTAGACTAGGTGGTCTTACTAATAGGGAATGTGGGTGTTGATGGAAAATACCTGTGACTGCTACAGAAAAATAGCTTAAGAAACAAAGTACATTCTAGGCAACAGAAGAAAAAGTCACCAAAGGGGAAAAGACAGCAATGTAAACAGAACAATATTGAAAAAAAAGGAGGAATACAAATTTCAGCAAGCTGAAAGGAATTGCTATTCCAACTTCCAAAGTGACAAAAAATAGTCAGATGAAAACTAAACACTGACAGATAAAAAAGAAAATGGGAAACAGCAGTTTCACCACAGAGGTGAAACCGTTACCCGCTAGTCCCCTGCACCCCGGTGAAGATGCTGTTCCTTTCAGCTCACTTTTACAGAAGGTGGCCGCAGCTGTGACAAGAACTCCGCCATCCAAGTGATGGGTAAGCACACAAACAGAAAGAGCAGCATGTCCTGAGTGATACAGATAACAAAAGCTTCTCCAGAAGAAGTGTAGTCGGTGAAAACAGAGAGAGAGAGGAAGTGAAAGTGAAATTCTTGGAGGCTGGTTGCCTCCTCATCTCCACCTACCATCGGCTTTAGCTCTCTGGCATCAGCAACGCCTCCCTTACCAGCTTCTTTCATTGCTTTCCTACTGTTTTCCACAAATTCCTGCAAAATATGAACCATATAGCATAAATTTTTGGGCCTTTTCAGATTTCAGGGGGCAGATGAATTCTAAGAAATATTCACTCCTTTATTCATTCGGAGGTACTGGGGATTGAATCCAGGGCCTTCATGGCTGAGCTACACCCCCCACCTGTTTTATTTTAGTTTCTTTTTAAATTTTGACACAGGGTTGCACTAAATTGCTAAGTTGCCCAGGCTGGGCTCAAGGAAACTGAAGTCCTTTAGTCTCAACTTCCCAAAGTGCTGGGATTACAGATGTCAGCCAGCAGGTCAGGCTAACATTTATATTTGACTCAATCTCTGTAAATGAAGGGCCCAAAAAAATAGTGGTAAGTAATATTTAGTATCCTATACAAGAACTGTTATATTTGTGGGATGGACTGCAGTTCTCTGATGTAAAATCTTCTTTCCATCCACTCATTGTGACAAATGAGAAGATAAATTGCCTAATATTTTTAAGAGACTATTTCTCTGTCTTTAGAATATTGTTTTATTTTTCCATATCAACTTAAATAAAACAAGAACATCTTATTTTACAACTCCACTTTTAAGAGCTGGAAGCATTTTTATCTTTCAGGTAGTAGAGGGTATTTAAAGTACTTACCATTAGCACTTTATCCATATAGAACTCTCTGCCAGGGCTCCCATCATTGTACTTTGTATCAATGGCAAAACACAAGAATAATACATCCACTACCATTTCATAAATGGACAGGAAGCAATGGGCGACTAGGAAAGCAAAGAGGCAGACGATGATCAGAGGCAGCACCCATACTGTGTAATCCTGCTGGTAGTTGAGCAGCATAATCCCAGCCAAACCTGTGCTGCAGACTATCAGCACCTAAAGCAGAGAGAGCAAAGACCACAGTTAATATTCTACTATAGAAAACCACTAATTCTTTGTCACATGCACACTTAAAGTTCTCTTCACTATTTATAAGTGATATCTGTAAACAGTCATTGTATTTTAAATTAAGAAGTATAATCCATATGTACCCAGGAGCACCCAGTTCTATCTTCTGTCATATAATGTAAACTAGAAAATTATACGTAATGATTCTAGTTTACATAGAAGATAATCAAGTATTCCAAATGTTATACTACTCCTAAGAACTTTATATATTTAGACTTTGTAGTAATTTTTAAGGTAAACTTACACATATTTGAGCAAAAAATTACATGTACTGTTAGTACTCAGAAAAATATTATTGACAATTGTATTGGTATGTATTTTTTGAAGCACTCTTACATATATGAAATAGTATATAAAAAATAATTAAAAGTTCTTCACTAATATTTATAGTAGCATACATGCTTCATAAATATGCAGTACGTAATATAATCTCCCATCTTATGGGAGATTTAAAATTTATTTAACCATTCTTCTACTGTCACAGATTTACATATTATTATCAGATACACATAATTCTTTTTTTTTTGGTTTTTTTTCTCCGGTACCGGGAACCGAACTCACGACCTTGCGCTTGCCAGGCAGGCGCTTTTGCCACTGAGCTAAATTCCCCAGCCCCCAGATACACATAATTCTGCAACAAACATCTTTATTCTTAGAATTGTTCCTGTGTTTCATTTGTTATTTTACATAGAATATGTGATAAATTTTTAAAAATTTCCATGATAGTTCACAGATTTAAACTCTCCGAAAGGGTTGCCAAAAAAGTTCATGTTAAAATAATAGATAATAGTTATTGTTAAGGATCATCAACTGTGATGCTTCATCATCTCTATGCAGCATTTTAAAATTTTTGTGGCTTTTAGTTTTAAAATTTTTATTAGTATGTAAATGTTTACAGTACCCGATGATTACATTCTTTGTGAGATGGCACATGCATTAACACATCTTAATTCTCTTTTCATCCTCCTCCCTCCCTCCCCTACTTCCTCACCTTCCTTTTTTTGCAAAAAAAAGCTATCTCTCTGAATATGTTTTATTTCAGCTTTTCAAAAACCTTATAAATAGTTTGTAGCAAACATTATCAACTCCATTTCACACGGGGAAACATGTTCAGAGGTCCTAGCCAACCTGCCCAAGGTACAGGAAAGAAAACAGCTTCCACTTAAGTAATAGTCTTATGATGCCAACCCCAGTGCTCTTCCCAGGTAAAAACTCAGCCTTTCACTTGTACACTGACATAGAACAGTAATGGATTGTACTGAATCTTAGGCACACTATTCCTCCATCCTTTCCTAAGCCTAGGAACAGGATATTTAAAAGAAAGACTACTCTAGCATAACAGCCAATTTTTTTTTTTTAATTTAGGGCCTTGGACAAGCAGAATTCTGAATCTTTTCTACTATTTATCAACATCAGAGTGGCTCATTGACTGCTATTTTAACCATGAGTTATAATGCACTAGATGATACACTGGTTTAACTATAAATTGACTCCTCTCCCAGGTGCTTTTACTGAGCAAATCTGGGTATTCCCAAGCTTTGGAAGATTCCTTGCATCATTTTTGTCGCAGTATAGTATTTATGAATCATGTTTTATAGCAGCTTGTTTTCTGAGGTGATTTCCACAGATGGTTAATTATCTCCATTTTCTTTCACTCGTGTGGTTTCAATTTACAATAGGTTATTTCCTATAACTGTCTTCAAACTTTATACATCTACCCCACGGTACAGCTGGAGTGCTGTATGTTTTCATCATGCCATTAAAAATTAATCATATTTAAAATGTTAAAGTCAATTATGGAAACAAGGTACAGTCCAAACAAGCAGATGTTGAGACAAAAAGCTACTGAGATGGAATATCACATGAGAAACAGTTCAAGAACTAGTGGTTCTTGGTCAAAAAAAGTCAAAGAAATATAATAACTACTCCCAATTATAATGAAAGGGTATCATGCATCTACTCTAGCAGGGGATACACTAATGGTTCTCAAACTATATAGAGGATAGGAATACAGATTGTCTGGCTCTAAAATGAAGCCCAGCAATGTACATTTTAGAAGTATCTCAGGTGCTAAAAAAGTCCACAGCCTACATCTCAAGAAGTACTAGTCTAGATTAAAAAAAATCTCTATGGTGGGATACACATACCCTAGGGATGGCAAACCTTTTACAGACCGCGTGTCCAACCTATAACCCAAAACCCACTTATTTATCACCGTGTCAATGCTGCAATTAAACCTGAATACTGAGTTTAGGAAAAAACAACTGCTATCCAATGATTGGCTGCTACTGAGACTTGGCTTGTCTGCTGACAGAGAGGCTCTGTGTGCCTGCTTCGGCATGCATGCCACGGGTTGACCACCACTGCCCTGGACCTGGCACTTCTACTTATGCTTTGCATATATTTTTAGATTTCTTTTTTTTGTGTGTGTTTTATAATGTAGGTTAATTAGTGAAATATACATATATGTATAATTTATAAAGAAATATATTGGGGAATTGAGCTCAAACTTTATACTAACACAATGCATAATTTTAAAAGTTTAGATACTTCTGGGGGATAAATGATGGGGATACAGTAGAAAAGATGCAAACACAGGGTAGGATGTCAAAAGAAGGAAGGAAAGGATGCTTACTTAGGAGTCTGAAAGGTGGAGACTTGATTTAGAGTTCATACTTAGTTTGTTTTTTTGTTTTTTTTTTTGAGACAGGGTCTTGCTATGTAGCCCAGACTGGCCTTGAACTCACAGTGATTCTCCTGCCTCAAACTCGCAAGTGCTGGGATTACAGGTGTGTGCCACCATGCCTGGCTTATACAGTTAATATTTAATTTGTGACTCTAAGCAAGTTAATTCAACCTGAGCCTGTTTTTCCATCCTTAAATGAGACATAATAATATACCTCATGATTGCTGAAATAAACATTCTGAAACAGTGAATTTAAAGCCTGGTAATGTTTTACCCTTCCTTCTTTTCTTTCCTTTTTCTACTTTTAAGTCTTCCACTAATGACTTCAGTTTCCCTTGGGTTCTGTATTTTGAAAGATTTTGCTTAACAGTAAAATAGTATTGATAAGCAATAATTCATACTCTGACTTTATTAAGTAAAATAAATGTCAATTAGAAAAGATAATTATTGTGAGAAAAGTTATTGGCAAACAGAGGTAAAATACACTCATTTAACAACCAAGTTCAGTTCTGGTGACTAGGCTGTTAAATGAATTGGTCACTAAATGAGGAACTGCATATACTCTGTACATTATACTATTCAGAATAAAGACATGGTCAAAGGAAACTCCAACCTTATAACTGTGCTTTTCCTGCATAACTCTTACACACAGTACTGTAATGTATAGTAACATAAAACTACAGTACTGCTCCGCACAGTACAATCAGGAAAAATTGAGTACTATATTAATGGGGTATACTGTACCAAAAAAAAAAAAAAAAGACACTGAGGTTCCATAAACAAGATATACAGAACTGGTCAACAACAACAACACAGGTCATAAGTCGGAACAGCAATTTGTCACCGAACAACGTGCCTCAGTGGTAAGTCAACACAGGGTTAAACAGGAGGTCATTAAACAAGGAACATCTACAGTTTTGATGTGGGCAGCCAAGGCTTGGCTAAGACTACCTGGGAAAGTAGGGTAACCTGCTCATTACAAAGTTCCAGGACACATGCACGGAACAGTTCCCAAAGCTGTGCACGCAGACTTCTCACAAGAACTCCAGCAGGTTTCCAACGGGATGGCCAAGACCTGATGCCAGCCTCAGGAGTGGGACATACAAAAAAGACAGTCCCCACTAAGGTCCCACTACTGTGTTCTTTCACAGCCATTCACCCTCACTCTGCAGGGTGTACTTCTTTTTCTACTTTCACTAGGACCAAATTCACTCTGCAGAGCCTTTTATTTTCCTACCTTAAATAAATGTAAAACATTGCTGCCATTTGCACTTGTCCTGATGAATTCTTTGGGATAGAAAGAACCTAAAAAACCACTTCTAGAAGGAGACTGTGACACCCTAAAATCCAGTAAGTTTCACACAGAAGAAACCGAAATTTTAGTTTCTGGGGAAGACAGCTTTATTAGGGCAAATATCAATAACTTTTAGACTTAAAAATCCTCGAAGACTGGTAAGTCTCTATTCTTATCTTTATGATCCTATAGGCCAGTGATCACAGGTGATAAGTCAATAAACTAGAGGAGCTATGGTCCCTTCCAAATCAAATTTACCATTCATTAAAAACAACTGTGGCTCCACAGAAATTAAACTTATGAAATTGTCTTTTTTGTTGTTTTGTTTTTTTTCAGAATTGAATTTAAAGTTTGAGGTAATTGCAAATTCACACACAGTTGTAAGAAAAGAGTAGTTCCAGGTACCCCTTATTCAGTTCCCCTCAATGGCAACACCCTGTAGAACTCTAGTACAGTATTACAGACAGGGTATTTCTTCTGATGAATCAAGGCACAAGGATCTTGATAAGGGTCTTTCACTTTGCCCTTGTACAGTTAGCCCCACTTACTCCCCGCTCCATGACTAAATGAGCAACCACAAATCTGTCTGTTTCCATACGTTAGTTTTCAAAACTGTTCCATAAATGAAATCATACAGTATTAATCTTCTGGGATTGGATTTTTCTCAATCAGCATAGTTCCCTCAAGGTTCACTCAAATTGCTGCGTGTAACAACAGTTAGGTTCCTGATGTCTTTTATGTGTCCTAGGAGTACCAATGCACAAACTACTTCTGCACATTAGCAGCCATTCAACTGTAATAAAAGAAACTCCCTTCAAAAGATTTACTGGATTCATGATCAGAATTATATTTCCAAGAATGGGAAACTAAAGAATCTTCAATGTTAGAAACCTAGAACATGCTGTTTTCCTTTCATTTATCTCCTTTTGGGTTTGTTATTTTTAACATTATCTCTTATAGTTTTAAAAGTGATCTTTAGTAATATTACTGCTACTTTAAAAATTTATTAGTACATGTATGAAGTACATAATTATTATATTCAAAGTGGGGAATTGGTACATATACATAATGCATCTTAATTCTTTTTTTTTTCCTCCTTCCTTCCATTTCCCCTGCCCCCTCTAGAGGACTATTATTGTTATTAAAAATATATCTTTTTGAAAAACATTTTGACAGTGTATATCAAGAATACTAATTAATTGCAGTTTTAGGTTTCTAGGATTCAAGTAAGCCATAATTCATGTGAATAAGGACTTATCTAAAAAATTTTTCACAGCAGCATACTCAGATTAGTAAGAACTTTAGAGGAACTCAACTGTAAAAATAAAACAAATGAGATGATTGATTAAATAAGTGATACAATAAATGTATATACGTGTTTACAAAATTTTTAGCAAAACAGGAAATGCTCATTAACATAATACCAAGTAAAAAGATGACTATAAAGTTGCCTTTTTCATTGGCTTTTAAATTTTATTTGTGGACTAGTATATAATGGCACATTACTATTAAGTATTCCAAAAATATCTGTTGAATGAATAAAAGGATGTGATAAACCTAAGGAAAAAAATTGACAAGTAACTAGACTGCTGAAAAACTCAAAAGTCAAGTTTAAAAAATTGTATTTTATCATCTATATATTTTTCATTATAAAAGGAATACATTCGCAATGTAGAGAACATTATCTTATAATGATAAAGTAGGGAGAGGGGCCTGGAATCACCCATATTTTCAATATTCAAAGGCAGTCATTGTTAACATTTTGAGATATCGATTTCATTTCTTTTCTGCACATTTTAGTTAATTTTTTGGTGGTGCTAGGGATTAAATACATGCTAAGGACATGCTTCACTACTGAGCTATATCTCAATCCATATATGTACATTTTTAAATAGTATTGTGATGGTCTAGTAGTTTTATTCAGCTTTTTCATTTACTAAATTATACACATTTCTTCATCATATTATAAACTCATAATAAGAAACAGTTTAAACAAGGCATGGTGGTATATGCTGTAATCCCAACACCTGGTAGGTTAAGGCAGGAGGACTGAGTTTGAGGTCAGCCTGGGCTACACATCAAGTTCAAGACCAGCTTGGACTACACAGCAAGACTCAGTGTGAAAAAACAAAACAAATGAACAAAAAAAAAAGCCAAACCCAAACAAATAAAAACCTAACATGGTTTAACAGGTGAACAACAGACTGTTGGCTATTATAACCATTTCTCTATTGTCAGGCATTAGACTGTTTACAGTTGCCACAATGTAAATGGTAGTACACTATATCCAGGAGTACACTACTATCATCAGAAATGAATCAAAAAAATTTTAAAAAAGGACCAATAACAAACTTAATGTCTGTTGCGGTGATTATAACACACGATGATTAATCTTAGAAGTCAGACTTGAGTTTGAACTCCGTCTCTACCATGTTCTACTTCTCTAAATTTGGCCAATTTAATTAGCTCTCTAAACCATGACTCTTTCTATTAGAAAATGAAGTGTAGTGGATCAGTAGTTACAGGGGAGGGCCAGTTCCACACTTCACTAGAGCACTTCAGTTAAGGGCTGAGGCCTAGGGTCTCAGAGTTTACTGACATCATCACCATCATCAAGTATTGCTACTTAGCATATTTTTCTCTACATAGTTTCCCTTTTCTCTTTTGAAAAATTGCTATGTACAGTCATATAGTTTTAGCCAATGTTGCTTTAATTCTTTTTGGCTCTAAAGATAAGTTGTATAAATAGAAATAAGACAAATGATCTGAAGCCTTCCCGAATGAACTCTACAGCATATAAATAATAAAAATAATGTCAGATACTGTTCTCAGTCCTTAACACAGAGTATTTTACATTATTTTCACTATAAATTTTCCTCTTATGTAAAAACATAACAATAAGAACTTCACTATAATGTAAATTTAATTACAAATTCCAAAATAACTACATAAACTGTTAAGTTTATTCTTAACTCCTTGGAGATGACAGTTGCCTAAGAATCTCTCTACTTCAGACTTGACAGTACTGTTTCTCCATACTGAAAATTTTTCCTTTTCAAAACATTTTATCTTTTAAAAAATTTTAATGTAATACAAATAGATATTAATAAAGAAAACATAAAAAACACTCGTCCTGGTTCTATGAAAAATAAGACCAAATTCCACAAGAAAATAACAATAGTTAATATACTGTATATCATGATCTTAAAGGCATGGCTAAAATGTTAGTTAGAGTACAAGTCATACACACATAAAAATCAAAAAGATTCTACTTTCTTCATTTTAAAATCACACCAGCTGGAGCAAGCTCAGTGTTCCTTAGTAAGAAAACACTGAAGAACAGTGTATGATGGGATACTGACCATCATGATAAAGAGTTTCCAAAGCAAGACAGAAACTGTATATGATACACTGTGAAGTATGGAAGGTAGGACAAACAGGTATGCGTGGTATGGCTGTTATACTGTAGAAGCATAAGGCCATAAAATAACACTGCAAGGGAACATACAGAAATGATAAATGTAGGTTAAAGTGGTGGTGCTACATTTTACCCTTTTCTCATTGTTTTTCATATTTTCTGAGTATTTTATGGTTTGAAATGAAGCATAATAAAATTTAGTTATAATGCTATTTATTATTTTATAGATTTTAATGGTATAGAATAACAATCTCGTCCCAGAAACTTCTATTGACATAGAAGTCTCAGTCTCTAACAGCTCTATTTATTTTATGTCTCATTCAGATGTTTATGGAGGGCTGGGGTTTGAGCACAGGGCCTTACCCATTCTAGACAAGCACTCTACCACTCTACCACTGAGCAGTGAGCAGCATCTCCAGCCCTAACTCTGTTTTAAAAGGATTTATATTCAGTAGCAACCAACATTCACTAAAACGTACTATGGTAAACACTGTCCTATATACTGCACTACATAGAGTAGTTTCCTGTTGAATCCTCATAACATCTTGGAGTTTGGCTACATGATTATCCTAATTTTACAAAAGAGCAAATGGATGCACAAAGAGATTCTATAATCTGTCTTAAGTTATACAGCTTACTAGAAAGGATTTAAATGAGGAAACCAAGAAATGAGGTTCTGCTACACAGACTGTATCTAATTCTGTATAGTTCAAAATATGTAGGGAGAAAATGGACAAATTACTCTGTCTCTTTGTGCCTCAGTTTTGTTATTTTCTTGGAGAATAACAGAATTTACCTTATAAATCTGGGGAGGGATTAAATAAATGTAATACATGGAAAGAATATAGAAAAATATCTGACCAATATGATAGGCTTTGAAAATGTTTGCTATATGTTAAATTACTTTTAATTTTTTGTTGACTCACACGTTTAAAACTGAAAGACAAAATTTCCTCACAGTATACTTGTCCCAGAAAATATACCTGGTCTTACCTTGCCTAGGAATAACATGAAGTCTCCCACTGTGTTGATGGCAGCCACTCGCAAAGCGTTCTCCACCAGAATGACAAAGGCATCCTTTGCGGAGGTGCAGAAGTTCGTGCTGTTGATAGCTGTGGCTGTGTATGCATTCTGGACAAAAGCAAAAGCAGTACTTTCATCAGTAAACTAACTTTAGATATAAACCATGCATAGTTAAAGCACTGATTTTATGAAGATTTCAAGGTCAGACCCATGGCTTTAATAAGGTACAAATAGAAACTAAGGACAAGGACAAAGAAAAAGAATACATTTTTCAAAAAAAAAGCTGATAGGGTAAAGAAAAAGCCTTCCAGTTGGTTTAGTTTTTGTCCTTTAAAAAGGACTGTTACCTCTCTTGTGTACTGTCCTGAAAGAATTAAAGACATCATATTACAGTGACACATGCATACCCACATTTATAGCAGCACAACTCATAAAAGCTAAATCCTGGAAGCAGCCCAGAGATCCATCAACAGATGAATAAAGAAAATGTGGTGTATATATATATATATATATATATATACATACAGTGGAGTATTACTCAGCCTGAGAAAGATAAAGTAATTTATAGGAAGGTGGATGGATCTTGAGACCATAAACCTAATGAAATAAATCAGACATAGAAGGTTAAATATCACATGGTTTCTCTTACACGAGAAACCCAAAATATAATTAATTTAAAGAGCAAACTAAAAGATGATGGAAAACAGAAGGAGAATCTTTGTGGAGATGGGAAGAGGCTCTAGGGATGGCGAAAGATGGGAGGGCAAGGGGAAATAAAATCTGATGCTCTGTGTGTGTGTACCAATTCCCCAACATGAATGTAATTAGCATGCATTATAGACATATACTAATAAAAATAAGATACTATTAACACACACATGCACAAACCTTCCCAACATTAACTTCTTCCCTGTCTTAGTAAATCAAACAATTTACTCTTTCTTAAATGTCTCAGGCTCCTGATTATGAGGATCAGTAATACATGTAACAGTGCCACTTTATAAACCAGACATCATGTGGTTTTTTTTTATAAACCAACATCAAGTTGCTGGGCTGTTTTATCTGGAATACCCACCACATTCTTGGTGGCTTTCTTCTTTTTGTTGTTATTTCTCACCCCCATTTGCTGCATGGCATTTTATACCTCTCCCCCTCCTAGGAACATGATCCCAAATCTTTAATAAAGTAGCTCTTCCCTATGAGTTTGGGGATGACACTGCCTCTAGCTCAGGGGGTGTATCTTCATTGACGTGAGCCAATCAGCATGCCCTACCCATTTGGCCATGATAATTAGTTCAGGTGCTGGTACACAGCCAATCAGAGTCAATGAAAGTTAAAGAGAGATTTCCTCAAAGAAACAGCTTTCTTTTCCATAGCCCTTGTGAAGATGTTGGGGTATGAGGTTTCTTTTTTTTAAGGCAGGGTCTTGCTGTGTATTTCAGGATGGCCTGGAGTTCACTATGTAATCCAGACTGGCCTCAAACTCACAGTGATCCTCCTGCCTCAGCCTCCCTAGGATTATGGGTATGCACCATTATGCCAGGCTCAAAGGCACAGTTATTTCAGTAATGTACTGGAGGTCAGTGTGAAACCAAGGGTAGAGCCAACAACACAGAAGGCAAGCAAAGAGAAACTAGGTACTTGAACTTGGTGACAGTGTTTGGAGCCGCCAGAAAGCTGAGGGACTAACTAGCCAGCTTTCTGGACTTTTCAGTTATAAAAGCTAATGCTAATAATCATCCCCCCTCTTTCTCCATTTAGGGTAGACTAAGTAGGGCTTTTGCCTCTTCTAACCCTGAGCCCTGCTTTATTGCCCCTTGTCTTCATTGCACCACTAGTAATAGACTGTTTTGTTCCATTCCTTTTTCCATGACATTCTAGACTAGCCTTGCTGTTTTCTGAGAAGTGTAACTAAGTGTAATACTATTAAATATATCTTAATCTTAGGAAGGGAAGTGAGTTTGTGACTAAAATTTTGGTCCCAAGGAATTTTTGATTTTGTGTTTCTAAAATCACTTCTATAGGCAAAATGTTGTAATTTCTGGAACACTCTTGAATATGAAGGACTCTTTACAGTGTGGTCTACAGAGCTTTAAATATGGAGCTTACAAGAGATGATCTTTACGAATGTTCTAATCATATGCTTGTTAGTTATTAGGAGCTTGGCATGAAGATGAGGTCTGAGTTATCAAAATATACTTTGCCATTATATGATAAAATTGACCAAAAAACGCAGAACATTTGAGAGCCAAGGAAAGAACAGTACTGAATAGATTGTTACTTGTACTACTTAAACTTTCTTCAGTAAGGGAGCAGCAGGAAATGATAGCATTCTTTGGGAAATACTGTATGACTTTGATATATAGTATTTCATATAAATGTGGCATTTACTATCAGAATAATTACTATAGTATTTAGAAGGTCTTTTATTTCAAAAGCTAATAAAAAGATTTTTAAGAAATCATATTAGTAAACTCCTCTGTTAGCACTCGTTAGCTATGTGGTCCCTTGTATTGTTAGCTGAAGGTTCTTATCAGTTAAAAGATAGCAGGAACCAAACAGTGAACTAACTGCAGTGGTCCACATTTTTTTCACCTTCTATAAAAAGTTCTTTTGAAATACTCTACAGAATGCCTCAATGATGTAAAAATAAACTACACTTCTGATCTTGTGTAACAATAGCGCTGCTGAAAAATGATGGAGAACTGCCCTGTCAGACCTACTCTCAAAGAACACAGAACGGCTCCCAGTTCCTACTTGTTCCCCAAGTACTCACAGAGACACCCACTTAACAATTGATTCTAGAGCAGGGATGGTCACGCTGCCACCTGTTGGCCACAGCTGGTCTGATGACTACTTCAGTAAATAAGGTTGCTCTGCTCATTTGCTTACATACTGTCAGTGGGCATTTTCATGCCACAAATGGCAGACTTGAGCAGCTGGGAGAGACTAGCTGGCCCATGAAGCCAGAATATTTACATTCTGGTCCTTTGCAGAAAAAACCTACTGACCTTTGTTCTGGAGTACAGCCAGTGGCCAATATCAACCTCATTTAGTCTACGAACCCACCTTCTCCTTTTTGAAATACAAAGCACATATGCTCATTTCAAGTTTTAATAATTTCCTCTCAACTGCCAGTCTTTTACTATAATTCTGACAAAGTCTTCAGTAATTTAACTGGCAAAAGTCTTCAGTAATGTGGGCTACAATTCCCCTGCAGAGATGTATCTGAGTTCTCATATTCTAAAATGTGATGAAGAGATAAATGACCAGTTATTGGTAACAGGTTTTCAGGATAAAAATACCATACTATACTAACTATTTACACTGATGAGATCCATCCTGAGGTGAAAACAATCACAGTGTCTAGAATCAAGGAACTTGGACTACCCATTTAAACCACCTAGGATGGTCTCAGTCTCCCAGCCCCCAAAATGAGGAACAACCCACTCTTAACTATGCTGTCAACCCGTTCTACTTTCATCAGGAGGCTCCTGAAGCAGGAGGCACAGGCAAGAGAGGATTCACGTAATCCCACTGGCTCTCTTATCATGGGGCCAGCTCAGAAGGCCCAGTGCTTCCAAACCAAATTATAAAATCATCTGAAAATTACTCCTCCTCTCACATTTTTCTCTTTGTCCCACCCTGCCCTATTCCATCTTCTTTTAGAGAAGAAGCCTACAAATTTGTAGACAAAGAAGGAAGCGGCAATAATTCCTTTTATCCACTCTCACTTCCAGAGTAGGATATCCACAGAGAAATTTAGCCTTCTCGACAATAACCCTACAGATCTGTGTGCAATGCCTTTGTACTCAACCTAACTGAAAAAAGAGCAGGTGATTATTTTGTAAGCCCTTTCACCTATTTTCAGCACAGAAAGATGAGCTGTGCTGATATATAAAAGTCAAGATGACCTCCTAAGGAAGAAATTTGTGCTATGGGTCATAACAGGCCAAAGAAATTTCCCTCTGTTCTATACCGCCTAGTCTAAAATAGATTTATGCTAAGGTTCTCAAAAAGTTCTGAGTCCTTTGTGGATTTCCCTGACAGCCGTTCTCTGAGTTTCCTGCAAGCTACTTAGTTGAGAGAGCACCCACCTTCTCAGGCAGCCTTCCTAATTCTGAGCTGAACTGCCCAGAGAGGCATTGCTGATTAACACTTAGCCTATGCATACCTAACATCTGCTTGAGACAGGACATAGGCTTGAAATTATTTGATCTTCAGCAGCAGGATGAAGAATGACTACCAACCAGGAAGACTTTTAAAAGGATGCCTGCTAACACAGAGATCCTCAGTAGTACTTTTGTATAACAAAACTGAGCAGAAAAAGTAGTAGCTATGTGGCCAAAGTATGTTAGGGCAGCAGGTCATCACACAGGTAACCTGGGCTTTCTGACCACCTGTCCCAGAGCATGGCTTCCATATTTTCACACCTTTCCTTTCTTCACTGAAGGACCTAGAAATATACTTAAAATTTAAAATATTTACATAATGACTTAAACAGGGAAAACTAAAAAGCAATGGAAGGAAAAGGGGTATAGGATACAGGCAACTCTGTGTGTGGATCCTTCTAAATTAGAAAAAAAAGTAATTACAATTATTTCTCCTTTATTTTGGGTAAGGGATGGAGGACTGTGCTATGGTCTGAATACCTGTTATCCCTGCTAATTCATATGTTGAAACCTAATCACTGAAATGATAGCATTAGGAAATAGAGGTGAATTGAGTGGGACAAGTGTCCTTGTAAATCAGGGCCCAAAGATCTGTCTTGTCTCTTCCCCTATGTGAGGTCACAGTCAGCAGGTAACGTCTATAAACGAGGAACCAGGCCCTCGTTAGACACCAAATCTGTCAGTGTTTAATCTTAGACTTCTCAGCCTCTAGAACTACGAGAAATGAATTTCTGTTGTTTATAAGCTACCCAGGTTATGGTTTTTTGTTACAGCAGCCCAAATGAACCAAGACAGGGCACAACATCAAATTTATTCCATAGGTTTCATTTGTCTTATTCTAAATTCTTAGACTTCCTAAAACTCATATGAATGAGTACATCGCAAAAATCAGTTGTTCTTTAATTATCACTTGTCTTATTTTATAGTATGAAATCT